CAAGAATTGGGTATCGTCATGAGGCTGCCGTGGTGGTGACCCATCCCTGACAGCACAGGGACACGAAGTGATGCAGAGAGCTGGAAAGATGTGGTTGCACTGAGATTTGGCTTGTTTTTGGAGGACAGGCTGCAAAAACAGGTCCTCCCCTGGCATCTGTCCACTGAGGGGGAGACAAGGATGTGCGCAGGGATGGGACAAGAGGGTCAGTGCCGGCGCACTGGAGCTGGCCGCTGTTTGCTGCCTTCCCACAGCCCGCCTGGCACCCAGCCCAGCCTCCCTAGTCAGAAAACCAGGAATCTGTATTTCTGAGTACTCCATCTGGCAGTTTTGCAAAGTGGAGCACAGCCTCCGGTCCCGGCTGATGGTCGCCGGAGTTTTGCAATGCACAATGCAAAACTCTGGTGACTGTCAGCCGGGACCGGAGGCTGCGCTCTGCTCACTTTGTTCGGAAGAGTCTCATTTTGCATCTAATGAAAATTTTATTCCCATTTTTTTGTTTTGTTTCTAAAACAAAGAGACATTTCCAACACCCAAGCACTGGAGATTAAAAAAAAAAAAAAAAGGAAAAAAAAAGAAAAAAAAAAGAAAATAATAAAATATTTATTTTTAAATGAGTAATAATCTCACCTGGGAGCTTGTATCTGAGGAGGATTTATATTCACTGTTATTCAGATGGGGAAAATGAGTCACCAACTAATGACCAAGGGGAGATGATGAACTGGAATGAATTGCATGGGGTTTCTCACCTTTCAAGGGAATTAAAACCTCTTTACCATCCTTCCAGTCTGGGTCTCAGCCTGGTTTTGTACCCAGGTGGTGCAGTTTTCCGAGGAGAGGGCTTGCGTGCTCACTCTGGGAGCAAGGGACCCCAGACGCCTCCCGTGAAGCAACAATGTCCTGGCTGAAGCTCATCTTCAGTTTGCCTGGGAATTAAAATCTCCTTTATCTGCCCATCTTCCCTTGGAAACAGGAGAAAGTCAATTCTTCCAGACCCCTCAAAGCCTTTTTCCTGTTCTCGGTGATTTTGTCTTCAGTCGTGTTTGGAAGGAAACCAACCCGACCACTTTCTCCCGGTCTCCGTAAATCATTCCCTCACCCCTTCCCCTTTCATACTCAAATAAAGGAAATAATTAAAAGACCAGGAAAATGAGCCATTGGCAAGTTTCCTACAAAATTGCTCAGCACTAGGGTGCTGTGCAGACCTTGAAGCCTTTCACAGGAGCAGGGTAGACTTTCAAGGAGCTGCTGTGATGCCTCTGACAGAGGGATTTGGCCACTTGTGCGACTCTGCTTCCTTTCCCGTGCTCTGAGATGGCGTTTTGCTGCCTCTTTGTCAGAACAAAAGCACTGCTCAATACCTAGGTGGCTTCTCTTCGGTTTCAGGCGAAGCCAGCCTTTGCACAGGAGCCTGCAATGTCAGTGGAGTTACCAGCCAGCAGCAATTTGCATCTCAGAGTGACATTTTGAGGGAAACCAGTGTTTTCCCCTGCTTATCCTGCAGCTTGCCTGGCTGGGGGATTACTTTGGGGTTCCCTGGGCCATTCCACTGTACCCTCATTCTTGTGTTTCCAGGCTGGAGATGGTCTCTCTCGGCATATTTGGGGCAATATCTCAGACCCTCTGCACTGGGTCTTGCTGAGGTGATTCAACAGCAGTAACGGGAATTGCATCTGCTTGGGGGGAACCACAGCCTTGCCCTGGCCACTGTATCCCCTCTCACGTTGTCTCCCTTGCTCACTCCCCCCAGACACATCCATCTGGGGCTGTTTAACCTCTCCCTGCTCCCTCCAGGAAGGCCACATCCATTAAAGTAAAGCCCCATCATCACCTCTCTTGGTTTGCACCCAGCTGCAGCAAAGCAGAATCACCTGGGGGAAATTTGGGGAAGAATAAGAAGGGCAGGACTTTTCCCTCTGCTTTTCCTTGCTGCATGTCTCCACCAGCACTAGCAGTGCTGTCCCTCCTTCCTAGGTGAGTGAGTGAGATGCAATGTCTTTTAGATGCATTGAATTAGGGGTGGTTTGGAGTGAGGTGGCCGCAGGGACTGGTCTCAGCTCTATCACTGCTCTGACATCCTTGTCCTGTAATAATCTGTGCCAGGACACCCGTGTCCCACTTCCCTGTGTCCCCTACCCCATATGGGGTGGTGGAGACACCCTGAGGTGCAGGGAGCTTTCCACCTCTGCCCTACCTTGCCAGACGCCAGGGCGTGTTGCTTTTCTCATCCCCTGGCTTGTCCTTTTGCCTTTTGGGCCAGGTTTATCCTGGGCCAGGTTCATCCTGCCCCAGGCACAGCCCTGGTTTCTGTTGGAGCTTCTGGATGCTGCAACAGCATCCCAAATTACTCAAGTCTTGGACCATGCATATGTTTCCCCAAGCCTGCTCTATAGAGATATGGTGACGGATTAAACCAGCACCTTGCGATGCCTGCTCAGCCCCATCTCTTCCCAGTCTGGGCTGCGGGGCTGGAAAAGCCTGAGCCGAGGAGCTAAAAGCAGTTTAAAAAAAGGAAGGCTGCCACGCTGCTCTCTCAGGGACCGTTAGCCCCCACCTCGATCCCTCTGGCCTCTGAGCAGCCCCGGCGCTTGCACGGCACGAGGCAGCCTCAGGGCTGAGCCGTGCCCGGTGCTGGCACACTGCCATTGCCCCGGCGCTCCCGGCTTTGCTGCCGACCTGCTTTCCATTATTTGGGAATGTGGCTCTCGCCGGCATCTGGGAGGCAGATTTCACCTGGGGGGTGTGAAGGGGGGAGATGAGGCTGCTGATGCCGGCGCTGACCTGCGCGTCCCACGCAGGGCAGGGACCACGGGGCTGTTCGTAGGTCAGGGTTGTTTCTGGGGTCAGGGAACGAAGCATCTCCAAATCCCCCTTCCCTATGGCTGGCTGCACCCCAAAATCCATGCTAAATTGCTGGGGGAACTCGCAAGAACACTTGCTCGGCTTGCTTCTGGAGGCAGACAGATGGATGGGGAAGAAATATAGGTGAGATTAGTGTTTGTCAGCTGCAGCTGGGTGCCGTGAGCTGTTGTTTCACTTGCAAAGCCCTGCTGCTATTCTGGAAGCTCAGCTTTCTTTTCCCATCTTTGTCCCTCTGCAAAAGGAAGGTCCCAGCTCCCCCGTAAGGGCCAGGAGTCGAATCAGAAGCGTCTCGGTGCATTGTGGGGTTTTGATGTGTGGATTTGTTTTGGTTTTTTCTCTTTTTCTCCATGACTGGCGAGGTTACCTGAGACCTCACGCTGGGGATGAGGAGTGATTTAGCAAAGCAGTCGTTCTTGGCTGGGGCAGGCGTGTGGCTCCAGCACAGGTCTGTCCTAGTGCTCTGGTGGCTGTCCACCCCCCAGCCCCCCAGACTGGGGGAGCCCCTCAAGAGCTCCTTACAGCAGCTGCGAGATGAAGCCAGGGGCTGCTTTCTCCCTCCCCAGGCACCCATAAAGAACGGGAAGGAAGTTTTCCAGGGCCTTTTCCCCAGCCTTACTCACCAGCCGATGCAAACATCAGGCTCCTTTCCAGATCTTATTGTTCTTCCCCCCCCCCCACCTCCTGCACTAATCATAAATCAGGTTGCTCTCCCCAAGGACCATCTAATGCAGCTGATCCCACACATGAAGCTTCTTCCCTTCCTCTCCCCCCAGCACGGCTTCAGCCAGGGATACAGGGAGGATGACAGAAGGGGGAGAGGATGCTCATCCCCCCCTCCCGGGTTCTGCATGCTGGCTCCAGGCTCCTTTCCCAGGCATTGCAGGCAGGAACCCTTCAGCTCACGCTCGCAACCCAGCTCTGCTCCTCTTCACTCCAGCCTCTTTCCCAGGGGAGGATGGGGATTAAGAAGAAGCAGATTAAACCTAATGGATTGATTGCAATTATTTTCCCTTGTTTATTTGCAGTATCGTGTGGGAGCCTGAAAAAAGGAAAGGAAACACTCTTTATGTGTGTGTAGTCCTGGTCCTCATTACATTTCCTGCTAGAGAGCGACCCAGGCCAGCCAAAAATAAAACCAGCTACATTTGAGCATCCTATTTCAAGCTCTTATAAACTGAGATGTGCAAATACTTCTGTGTGCAAACCCACACGTGAAGCAACTCCAGCCCCGCGAGGTCCCAACTGCCCTCGCCCACGTGTCCCACGGTCACTGGGGACACGCACCCTCTTAGGAGCCATCGGAAGCATTTTGGGGCAAGAGCCAATCTCTTGTCTGGGGGGAAGTTTTACCCGTCACCATGCCTTGGGAATTTCCCCCTAATTTGGCTGCCCAAGGGCTGTGAGAATATTTAACACCAGAAGTGCACCCTGTATCCCTTTGCCTACCCAGAGTTGAGCTCTTCAAGTCCTTCCTGGACTTATTACAAAAACTTACCCCCCACCTAAATAAATCTCCCTGGGTCTGGGAGTTTTGTGTAGGACCTTGGGAGGCTGATCTGCATTTTAGGGTGCTGAGGGCAGCATTGGTAATGGCACTGGCATGCAGAGATAGGTGCCTTGTGCTCAAAGCAGCAAATGCTTCAAAATACATGGACTTTAACCTTTTAATGTCATTTTACAGCAGCTGAAGTAACTCGGAGGAGGAGGAAGTGACCCTCTTTTTTGCCTTTTTTTTTTTTTTTTTTTTTTTTTTCCCCCCCCCCCAACAGCAAAGGTCTCTCCTGGAGTGCTGTCCCAGGGAGTGGGGTGGGAGCGTGGTGGGCAGTGCTGGGGGGATGCTCGGGATGCTGCCCAGCACCCCAGTAAGCTGTTGTACAAAGCTGGATAAGTCGTGCAAAGCTCCTGACACCGCGTTCCTGGCTGAGGTCCGAGTCTCCTCTCGCAAGAAATCCTCCTCCACTAGATAAGATCAGGCTTTACATTCCTGCTGTTTATAAGGTTAAAATGGGAGGATGGGGAAGAAAGAAGGAAAAAAAAAAAAACCAAAACAACACCCTTGAAGGCTTTGAGGCAATCTTTCCTATCATGGATTCACAAACCTCAGTTCTTGGAGGGGGGAGGAAAAAACAAGCAGCACGCCAACGTAGTGATGCTCTTTATTGGCATCTGATGGATACACAAGGACAGCTACCCACCCGGCCGGCGCGGCGGCCCGCCACCCCCCGTGCATCACCCCCCCACCTCATGCTGCTCACACCCCACCCACAAACCCCCCAAACTCCTTCTACGACGGCTATTTCTTCACCGTAAAACTTCCTAATAAATCAGCACTGGTATTACAGAGGGGTGAGTGGAGAAACACGCGTTCTTTATACAACAGAAACATTAGAAAAGGACACAAAACGTACCGACGAGCACTAACTTTGGCTTGGTTTTCCCTCCCTGTTTTTTAATTTTATTTTTATTTATTTCCTGCAACCAGGGATTTGAGGCATCCCCTGGCTTTTCTTTGGATGCTGAGTTTGTCTCAGTTTCCTCAGCCCTGAGGAAATCTCTTTACTATGGCAATTGAAACCTGAGACCATGGCAATATTGTCCTGAAGAAAAGCAATTTCCAGCTGGCAAGGTATGGCCAGGTTGGCTTATCAGACTGAATCGGGCAGTTTGTTTTGCTTTTGATTTGGGCACTTTATTCCAGTTGCCCTTAGTTCATATTTGAGTCACTTCACCAAAAAAAGGGACCAATGGAAACAACCTGATGATAACCAACGTTTAAATTCATCCAGAAGCATCCCTGTGGATGGCTCGTCTGGCAGGAACCAGTGCCCCAGCTGGGGGGTTGCAAGCCAGAATCATCCGCTGCAAATGGAGTTGCAAATTTGGGGCAGTTTCCTTGGATTTTAGTGATAGGAGAGGTTCGGGACTCAGACGTAGGACTCGCAGCCCTGTCAGGGCCAAGTGTTTCTAACCAACAGGTCTGGCATGGGCGGCTGGCAGCCAAAGTGTCGCAGGGCTTGTTCCTCCAAAGGGATCTTTGCTCTTTTGCTGCACGAGGGCAGGAGGAGTTAAATATCCCATCCTGGAGATCCAGATTCAACATTTATCATCCAAAGCACGGGGAGCAAAATTCCCGAAAGCTTTTGAAGGACCTGGGTGCTTGAATCCTATTGACACAGGCTCCAATCCCCCAGAAAGCACTGAGATCTCCCTCCGGACACCCAGCAGCTCTGCTGGGAACAGCCAAATCCTTCCACGTTCCCAAGTTTCTCATGGACCTGCTGCAATGATTTTTGGGGTGTGCATGTTTCCCTGCCTCCCCACTGAGTCTTTAAGGCCAGAAACGAGGTGGGACCAAAGGTTTGGCTGCAAAATGAAGCTCGCCTTGCAGATGGAAAGGCTGTGAGGAAGAGCAGAAGGGTCAGGGCAGGCGCCGTCACCCCATGTCACACATAGAAACATCAAACAGTTAGTAAAACAACACTATACTATTTACAAATCTTGCTTATCTCCATAAGGAGGGGAGGAAAATCACCTTCTGCCTTCAGGAAAGAGTTTCTGGCTTAATCCAGAGGTGAAGGGGGAGTCTGTAGGCTCAGACGTACCCAGCACTGGTGCCACGCACCAGCTCGTCTTGCAGTCCTTCCTCTGCAAAAAAAACTTGTGATGCTCCAGGCGAGTGAGACATCAAAGCCATAGCTGAGCTGGGGACATCTCCCAGGACTGCGCTGGCTGCCCGGTGGCAGCTCGTGGGGGGAACGGGGTGCTCACCCACCCGGCAGTTGCTCTTCCGCGTCACCCATGGGTGAGCTGGCTGCTGGGCGGGGAGCTGATATGCCAAAAAAATGCATTTATATGCTCTGGAGGCGTAGAGGCGGTGAGTGATGTCCCATTCCCCCAGGCTGCGGGGGGGTCCTGGCAGAGGGAGGTGCTGGGGCCACCCAAGGGTATCCCGGGGAGGCAGTTGGTGCCCCGAGGGTGGGCAGCACCCGCTGCGTGCCCGGACGGAGGTGAAGGACTCGCAGGGGTGTTTCTGAGCCACCCTTCACAGTGCTGGAAGAGCCCTTACAAGCAGGGGGTCAGGACCACCAGCCCCGGCTGGGTGTGTAGGCGAGCAGGGACAGTGCAATCACGGCAGGGTGGCTTTGCTCCTGGGTCAGGGTTGGGGGGGGACACTGGGGGAAGGATGAACAGAGCCCTTTTGTCATGTCCCCGCTGTGGGCAGGCACTTTTTCAGCCCTTTAGACCTCCGGTGTCCTCCCGTGTAGCTCCAGTATGGCCAGGGGAGCCGGGCACTGGCAGGGAGGTTGTAGCACCCAGACGTCTGGCCCCCCAAATTCAGGTGGTCCCCACTGCTCCTCACTGAGGCCAAACGCTGGCAGCCCTGTGGAGCGTGCGCGGGGGCTGCGCCCCCAAAATTTCACAGTGTAGGTTGAACTGCTGGAAGCCAAGTCCTTTCCCCCAGCCCACCCCCCACGGCGCAGCCTGGCCATGGGACCAGCCCCCTCCCCAAATCCTGGTACAGAAGCTCTGATACTCTCTGTGTCCAGCCCAGCCCTGCCCTTTGCCTGTGTTTTTTGGGGAAAGCAGCTGGATTTAAGGGTGTTGAAGGGGAGCAGGAGATATTGGTGGGGTGGGCCAAGGAGGAAGAGCAAGAGGAAGAGGAGAAATGGAGCCCCAAGAAGGAAGGAGAAGGGCTGGAAGGGGAGAGAGGGCTGAGAGCGTGGTGCTCATTCCTGTGTCCGTCTGTCCAGCCTCACGGGGCTGTGGAGGATGCTCCAGCAGCAGAGAGGCTTTGGGTGTTGGGTGGGACTGAGCCCCACACCCAGCCCACTTACGGGCTGTCGGGGGGAGGCGGCATTGGGAGGGGGCGATACCGAAAACAGGAGCTCAGTGCATACAGGACTGTAAATTGAGGGGGCCCGGGGAGCCCCCACTTCCTTCCCACCCTCCCCTCCGGGGCTCTCAGTGCCGGGGAGGGGAGAGATAAGGGGGGGAAGGGGGAAGGGGACCCCACGGGGCTGCCCCGGGCCACCCTTCAGACAGGGGAGGTGGCGGTGGACTCGCTGTACAAGCTCTCGGCGATGTCCCCGCGCTGGATCTTGCGCAGGGCGGCGAGCAGGGCGTCGAGGGTGGCCGTCTCCTTGGAGGACCAGTCGGCCAGGAGAGCCCGGGCGGGCGATTCCTCCCGGGTGAAGGAGTCTATGAGGTCCTCTTTGTAGCCCAGCTCCTCGGCCAGCTGCCTCCACGTCTCCTCCACGGAACTGCCCAGCAGCTTCTCCACCTCCTCCTGCTTGCTGGGTGGCAGGTTGGTGTAGAGGTTCCCGTCTCCTTTGGGCGCTGGGAAGGACGAAGCGGCGTCAAGCCCATCCCTGGGGTGTCCTTGCCCATCCCTGGGGTGTCCTTGCCCATCCCTGGGGTGTCCTTGCCCACCCCGCAGCCCCCGGTTCACCCTACCTGGCCCCTGGGTGCTCTGGCTGGGCGGCTGCTGGTCGTGCAGGCTCTGGCTGTCCACTGAGATGCCGCTGTCACTGTGCAGCTTCTCCCCCTCCGGCGAAGGCGTCTGGTTCACCGGGCGGTTGTTGGCCCCTTGCTTGTTCTGTTTGCAGTTGTTCCACCTGCAGGGAGAGAAGCGGGGAGGTGACAACCGGCGGTGACATCCCCCCAGGCTGGGAGCAGGTTTGTTGCTTTGTCCCCCCCTTCCTTGGGACCACTTTTCTCAGGGAGAAGCATTTCTCCTGCGGCCTCAACCTCTCCAGGATGGCGACCAGATCGGTTTAAATCAGTGTTTACAGCTGCCGAGCGGGTGCTGAGCTCTGGATCTTTACGAGAGAACAGGGCAGGGCTCCGTTCTGTGCAGATCTGCTGCAAAAATGTGGCTGTGCTGATGGAGCACACGGGGGGTCCCGGGGTTGGCTGTGGGTTCCCCCCCTGCTTGTGGGAACCCCCCCCCCCCCGCCTTCCAGGGTGCCTCCAACCCAAAGGGGTGCCCAGGGAGCTGCCAAGCCAGCCCCAGCCTGCCCAGGGCAGGTACAAACCCAGCGCACCAAGGATGAGCCGCTGAGCAGGATCAGCCGTGACAGCCGCCCGTAGCGTGCCAGAACGAGCAGGGGCTGGGCTGGGAGGGGGTTGCAGTGAGGGCTCCCCCGCCCTGCACCCCCACCCTGCTGCCATCTCCCTCTTTCACCCCTCAGCTGCCTGATTTTTCATGCCTTTTTGGAAATCCACCCCCCTACTCACCCAGCCTGGTCCCCTCCCTCCCTTGTTGGTGACAGCTCTGCCTATGGGACCTCTGAGGTGGGGAGCGGGGGGGGGGGGACACACAGGATGGACACAGCCTGCTTCCCACTACCCAAACCCTTTGCCATGACCCCGTGGTGCTGCCGTGGTCCTCTACCTTTTGAAAGCAATGTAGGCCACCAGCCCCACCACCACGGCTGCCAGGATGGAGCAGTAGACGGGGATGAGGTTGTCGGCGGTGCCGCGGCTCACGACGGGCTGCGAGCTGCCCATGACGGTGGTGACGGTGTCGGCCAGGGTGCTGGGCATCACTTCGGTGTTGAAGGGGTCCCTGGTGATGGGCTCGGGGCTGTCAGAGCCTACCAAGGATGGCGTGTGTGTTGTCCAGCGAGGGTGGAGGTCTGCCAGGCAGGAGGAGAAAAGAAATTAGAATAATTAATCACGCAGCCGGCCATGCCTTATGACGGGCTGTGGTGGGTGAATTGGCGAAGGGACAATGATCTCTGCAGGGATCTTCTTCCAAGGGCTGTGGGGCTGGTGGAGGTGTCAGCTCTGCCCCATCCACGCTTCCCTTGCAAACCACCTCGTCCCCTGGCCCCAGACAGCACCAGCCTCCCCGGTCCCCAGGACAAGCTGAAGCTGTCCCCTGCCCTGAATGGCTGATGGTGGCCAGATCGTGGCTGGATGCGGACATGACTTTGAAAGCTTTTCTTTCCCAGCACGGGGTTTGATCGAGTTCTGCAGCTCTTCCCACCACACGCAAGCTGCAGATTGAGCCCTGGGCTCCCATCGCTGGTGCGGAAGCCCCAGGGAAGCAGCCCCAGCTGCCTCCCATCCACCGCACATCTGCACCACGGCCCGTGTAAGACAACCCAGCTGCCTCCGCAGCTCGCACGGAGCCGGGCTCATCCGCTGCCGGCACCACCAGAGCCTGGATTTGCCCCTTTCCTGGCCCCTGCCTGCAGCTGTGCACCCCACCAGCCTGGCCCCATTTGGGAGTGACCCCGTTCCTGCCGCACTCAGGCATGTCCCACGGAGCGAGTGGATACGTCTTGTCTTGCCCCAGGGAAACACCCTCACCTGCGGCTGCCTCATCCCCTCCCCCGGGTGCCGGCTGCCTCCCAAACACACACGCACACCCCCCGCACCCCTCTCCAGGGGCTTGTCCTGCACTTGCTGGCAGCGAGCCCTGCGGGGCCGTGTCACGTCCACCAGCCCGGTGAGGATGGAGCGGGTGCCACGGTGGGGAGCTGGCATCTCGCCCCGCCAGCCCTCCCAGCTGCGGGGCCCCGGGTGCACCCCGCTGCCCTTTCGGAGCGACGCATGGGTGTCCATCGCGGCCGTTTCCGGCGGGGCCCCGCTGCCAGCTAACAAAGCTGGCCCTGTGCTCCTTGACTTATGGCTCCATTTACTCGACCCTTTCAAGGGAGCCACGCTGGCTGCCCCCGCGCTGTGAATCAGCGGCGGCTGGGACAAAGCTCTTTTCTCCCCGGCCGGGCTCGGGGTAGGGAATCGCGCTGCTACCACCAAGGAGCAAGTGGAGCATCCCCAGCCGAAGCAGCCCTGCTGCTCCTTGGGGGGCTGCGCATGGCAGTGGGGTGGGGGCTGCTGCTGGTGAATGATGCTCTCCCCCTTCCCCTGGGCACCAAACCCTCCTGGGCTGTTCCCTGGCTCTTCAGAGCGGTTAATTCCCATCAGAAACCCATCAGCTGCCAAGATGCCTCCTGATGAAGGCTCAGGTGGCTGTGAGCACAGCATCCGAGACTGGTGAATCTCTCAGCTCCGCTCACTGTTCTTGGATACCAAAAGCCACCCGGCAGAATGCCCGCACCTGCAGCAGCATCCTGCTGGGACCTCAGCCAAGGGAGCCCCTGGGCAGAACCCTAAGGCCGAGCACTTGTAAGGGAGACGAGGGCTCAGGAAGCTGCATCCTGCAATGCCCAAGGGCTGGGGGACTCCACTGGACACCGAGGTCCCCTCCTCCAAACCTAGGGACATGCCCCTGCCTCCCCACTGCTGTGGTGCGAAGGGAAACTGAGGCAGGGAGCGCTACAGGAGACCCGGCGAACCCCCAGCAGCGTTACCTCTGCATTCGGCATCCGAGACGGCCGTGCACTCCTTCACCATCACCTCGTTCTCCTCGCAGGTGGTGCAGGGCAGGCAGGGGTCCACGAAGTTGGCTTCGCTGGAGAAGGTGCCCTCGGGACACTCCTCGCAGACCGTGTCCTGCGAGTCCTGGCAGGGGAACATGAGGCCGAAGCCCACCTCGCACACCCGGCACTCCTTGCAGCTCCCGCTCAGCTCGTCCTGGTAGTAGCCGTAGGCGCAGCGGCACACGGCGTCGTCCGACTCCACGCAGGGCGCGGACATGCTGTGCAGCCCCACGCACTGCGTGCAGGGCTTGCACGGCTCCGTGGCGCTCACCGTGTCCGAGTAGGTGACGCCTGGTAGGGGACAAAAGGCGAGGTGAGCAGCGTCCCAGCACCGCCTCCCTGTCCCCGTGGCCACTTTGCTCCCAGCACTGGCTTTGTCCCATCATCAAGTGACGCCAGACCATGGAGGTGAACTTGTGCAGCGGCCCCTGGGACCATCTCCCCTTTCACCATTTTCCCCCTCCTGCAGGCCAGAGGGAGAGAGGTGTCTCCCCTGCAGCCCCCCACCCCCAACACCACTGAGCATCCCCTCAGCCCACAGGCTCTGCTTCCCATTAACAGCTACCCCCTTTCCCAGCCTGGTAGGGATCCAGCCCTGGAGCTCCTGCAGTCTGGGCAAGGCTGGGTGCTGCCCTCAACATTCCCCTCGCAGCGCTCGGTGCCCGTGTCCCCAGGCAGGCAGCCCTGCTCCTGGCCGGAGCACCATCCCCATTTTTGACCTCTGGATGATCCCCGTGGGCATCCTCCAGCCATCACTGCTCTCCAGCACCCCAAATGCTTTCTCCTCCACATTCTGCCCAGGGAGGGGGGGTGTCCCTCGGGGCATCACCACCCTGCGCCCCTCTCCCCAGCCACGTGTCCTCAACATGGGGCGTGATGCAAAGACGAGGTTACAACACTAATTGCTGACTCTTCTCTGACCCTGGGGCTTCTTGCTCTCCGGTTTCATCCTGCAGGACTGACTCTGCCGGGGAAATCAATCCTCCTCCCGCAGCCCAGCAAGCTGACCCCACACTCCCTCCCTCCTCCTGCCCGCTCCCAAAGGTGTTTGAAGATATTTTTAGCCTGGGAAGACGGGTCAGCTCCCATCCTGGAGGGCACAGCTGCTGTCCCTGCGTTGGCTGCCTCCCACTGATCCCCCCAGAGCCCGCACTGCCGCAACGACCTGTCTTCCCTCGTCCAAAACGCTGGGGGAAAGTCCATCCTCCTTGATGGAAAAGGTGTTGAGGAGTTCAACCGCAATCTCTCCGCTAGCCCTGCTCCTCAGGAAGGCAATCCAGCCACGTGCTGATCTTTAATTACCTGCCTGTCCCCTGAGGATGATCGTGGGAGTTGGCAATTCCCACCCTCAGTGGCCTCCAGCCTCCCTGGGTGGCCAAGGAGAGATCGAGCCATGGTCACTCGGGGCAGAGCTGTTCTGGTGCTTAATTTTTGGCTGTTTTCAAGACAGAGGGGAAGGAAGAGCCCCGAGACCCTGGTGATGGGCAGAGTTACCATCACCTGCACAGGAGGAGCAGCATGGAGGTGCTGTCCCGGCCTCAGGGGCTGCTTTCCCACTGTGGCTCAGCTGCAGCAAACCCTGAGCAGCAACAGCCGGGACATTTCCACCCCAAAACATCTCCCCCTGCCCTGTGCCTGTGTCTGAGTGTCCTGCTCCTCTCTCAGGGCCAGTCTTGGACCCTCTTTGGAACTGCAGGATCCTGGGGATGAACCCGCTCCGCTGCTGCTGGCCCCGAGCTGCTGCCTTGGCTCGGTCCCGGGGTGGGCAAGCAGCCCCTGCCCCGCTGCTTGCCCCGCTGCCTAGCCGAGGGAGCAGAACCAGAGCAGCACCAGGTCGACCGCCATCATGCACGGCTCCCATTAACCTGGGCTCATCCTTTGCATTATTCTGAATTATTGATAGGCACCATTAGAGCGGGGAAGTGGCCAGGAAAGGCATACGGCTGAGTGGGCACATTTTCAGTGGCAGCAAGGTATCTGAGCTGAGCAATTATAGCTGAGATTCAAACAGGGCCCCCTCCCTCCCGCCCACAGCGATGGAGGCTGGCGAGGGGGATAAATAAATCATGAGGCAGCAATCAGGGGTGGCTGGCAAGGGGAGGGGAGAGAAGGAAAATTATAATAATAAAATAAAAAAAAAAAGCAAGTGGCCATTTGGGCTAGCGCAGGGACCGTCTCCTCCAGCCCCCCAACCTCACTGGCTTTGGCAAGGGTGGTGCTTTGGTTGTAGCAAATTTTTGCAAAACAATTTTGGCTGGTGAATGGGGAAGCCATCCAAAGCGGGAGCTCGGAGGCAGCCCGGGGCGGAGGTGGGGATCTCGGCGGCCCAGGGCTGTGCCCACATTCCTCCCGGCCACCCCACGCTTGGCAGGCAGGGCGCTTTGCCGGGACCGGGGCTGCCTGCGCCTGCCCAGCACCCACGGCAACACGATCCGGCACGAACCCAGGTCCAAAAGGACCTTTTCCCCATCCCAGCAAGAGCTGACGATGGGGTTTGTGGGTCTCCTTCTCTCCCCGCCTCAAAATCCCACTCCCAGCTCAGAGGAGAGCTGGGGGAGCATTTGCCCTTTTGCAGTACCTGCACCCGTAATCACCCCACGGTCCCCCCCACCCAGCAGCTCCCAGATGAGCTTCTGGGGATTAGTCCAAGCTGCTTTTAATGAAAGAATGAAAGGCTGCAGCTGGGGCAGGACTGGGGGTGTAAAGCAGGAAGGTTGGCAGTTTGTTTTGGGTTTTTTTTTATTTTTTTTTTTCTGGTTCTGACTCCTCAGTTTGTCTGTTCTTCCCCTCTTTGAGTCAGTGAGAGGGGAGTAAGGTTGTCCCCTTGGTGCTGCTTCTTATTATGGTGATATGGGCCTGATCCTGCCCTGGGGTGTGCACCACGCTGCTGTGCAGTTGGGTAAGTGAGGGGGATCCCGCATTGTAGCTATCGCCAAGCAAGGGGTGGCAGGGCTGTGAGCTGTTGGGATGCAGATGAAGGGGTGTGGGGGAAACTGAGGCATGGAGAGGGGGATGAGCAGCTGCCTGGAGGCTGGGAACACGTAGTCTTACTGGTTCATCACCAGTGAAGCTAAGCAGGACACAAAGAACTGCTCTTGGGCTTTGCTTTCAGCCTCTGGGTGTTGCTGGGAGGTCTTGGGGCTGCAGCAGTTGCTCCTGCCTGCTCTCATCTCCGCAGGGATGAAGGAAGGGTCCAGATCCTTTTGTCCAGGTACTTCCCAGCTCAGCTCCCTGACCTAGCAGAGCTGCTGCCTGATCTTAATCCCCCCTGAAAAAATGTAAATGCCTGACCTGGGGCAATGTGGGGCCGGGGTGCAAACCAGAGCAGTGGCATCTGCACCTGCACCCCTGTTGATGTAGGGACCTCACTGAGGTCACAGTCCTGGCCTCTCCATAACCTCCACAACCCATGCCCTCCAGGGAGGGTGAAAATTCCCTTTATCCCTTCAGTTCCCAAAAAGAAATCAGAGAGACAAGACATCCACCAGCCTGGAAGTGCAGGTAATAGGAAATGGGCTCACCCGAGCATCCTCAGGAATGCCAAGAGACCCTCTGGATTTACAGCTCTGCACACCCAGGAGCTGGGTCACACCCCGGCCAGGTTCCCTGCAGGAAAGGCTCACGGGGGGGGGGGTGTGTGTCAATGGCAGCTCGCAGCAAGTTGGGTCTGAACCCCTGAACCCGCTGCAGCCCAGGAGGGAGCGAGCCCACAGTGCCCGGCGGGATTATCCTGCTCAGCAGCCCCGAGGTAGCACCGGTGGGATTCAGCCCCCGCAGCCAAACGCAGGGAGGGTAAGTGCTGTTCATCGATTTTGCAGGAAAGTGGAGGTATTTTTAGCATTGCCCTGACACTGCTCTGTCCCCTGCTCCGTGCTGGTGCTGCTCTGTTTATACTGTTTCTCCCCCCCCCCCCCTCCCCGCTCTGGACTTTGCCTCCTCTTTGCTCCCCCACAGCCTTGCTCTGTTCCCTCCCCCTCTCTGATCACATCCCCGGAGCAATCGGAGCTTGGCTGGCACAGCTTTTCCTACAAATACTTGTCCTCAGGCCTTCAAAGGGTTTGCAGCAGTAAATTTGAAGGGCAGATTGCTTCTGCCTATCATGGCATTGTTTAAACAGTAATAGTTGGACCAGTTCATCTGTTAGCATTTAAGCCAGTCTCCAGCACACTTCTCTGACTGACATTTATGAAGCATTTGACACAGGCAATGTGCCTGGAGCTGTCCAGGAGAAAACTGTTCCACTCTCTCTTGAGGACCCATGATTTGGTTCTTCCCTCTCAAACTTGCTTTTATTTTTCAGTCTTTACAAGGTTCAAAAAAAAATACAGGTAGGTCATTGGGAGACATCCCCATGGCTGGATCAGGCTGATGTGCAGCCACTGTGGGGAGGGGGAATATTTTGGAGGCAAATGCTGGCCACAAGCCCTTCGCCAGGGAGCTATTGAGAGGAGAACAGTGCTGGAAGGGGGATATGAAAAGGTGCCGGGTACCAACAGGTCCCAAAACAAGGGATACTGCATCCCTGACTGGGGAAATGCTGGAAGTAACCCCGGTGCCAGCTCAGAGCCGGGTGGCCCGGAAAGGCTGCGTGCAGCGTGGAGCTGATCTGTGCAAAGGCAGCAAATAGCACAAATTGTACCCTGGCAACACCCCCAGGAGGTAAAGAGGATGCACCTGGGGAGACCCAAATACCTGCTAATGCCCACGGTCCACCCAAGCCTCTCCCCACGGACCCTGTGCCAGCCCCTTTGTGGTGTCCCGCGGAGGGGAGCGGGTACTCACTGTCCAGGCAGGGCTCGCAGACCGTCTGGTTGACCCCGCAGGGCTGCACCACCCCCTCTCCCAGGTTGCAGGCTTTGCAGCACTCCCCGCTTGTTGTGTACATCTTGGTGAAGCACTTGTCCTTGGAGCCCCAGGCGGGTCCCTGGGAGAGAAAACAAAGCTGGGAGGTGAGCCTTGCTATGGGACACCCCCCACACACCTGCAAGGGCAGGCGGAGAAATGCATCCCATCTAGGTAGGGTCCCACTCTGGGCTCGACATCCCATGTTGGGGCTAAAGGGGACTCATTAAATACAGATGTTGGGAGAAATTACTTTCCTGTGCAAAACTTGCTCATCAGGAAAGCCCCTGCCAAGTGCTGCTGCTGGAGGGAGGTCAGGAAAGCCCATGTATCCACAGTCCGGGCTGGTGGGTATTTTCGGGGGGAATGTGAGCTTTTCTGCAGGGTCACAGCACTGTTTGTTCTTGTCTCTCACCTGACCCATCTCCTCTAAGGATGCTTTGCCATCCTGACGGGCTCAGCCCTTCCCAGTCTGGGGAAAGGCCGGGCACTGCTGACAGGGAGACCTGCCTGCTGTGATGGGGGGTTTGGGGAGCTGGGACAGCACTCTTGCTGCACCCAGGGATCAGAAATCAGATCCCATGGTGGAAAATGAAGACTTCGAAGGGAGCACCGAGAGCTTCAGCAACATTACTGTCTAATGGAAGTAAGTGTATCTGCTTATAAAACCTGTCATCACATATGGAAGCAATAAACATGCCACGAGCAGTGGGGTCGGAGCCATCCCGCTCATGCACTTTGCAGCCTGGGGAGTGGGGTGCATCTGCAGGGTATCTGCTCCCCAAAACACCTCTTGGCCGGGGCCTTGGGGCGCAGGGAGCATCTCTGCTTGGGCACAGGGCTGCTGAGATGCTCACGGGGATTTGAGCTCTGCCAGGGCTCCTTTTGCTCCCTCTGCTCACAGGCAGGTGTCTTCTAGGGTTGGATCATCCCTCTGCCATCCCACTAAGCTTGAATTTTAGAGGGGGGGGAAGAAACTCCTCGAACGCTTGGAGGAGCTCCCCCTCCCCGTGCATCTGGATGCCTCGTCAGCCAGTTGGCCGCCTCCTTGCACAATGCGGCGTTATGAACTCGCTGTGCATCATCCGGCAGCATCCGGCCCGGCTGAGACAATGGAGCGCCAATTATAGGCATCTGAATGACAAAGTGCTCCAATTACCCTGCGCTTGAAAGCATGTGCTCTCCTCCCTGGCGCTGCTTCGCCAGCCCAGGCTGGCAGCCCACTCTGGCACTGGGCCCCAGCTGGGCAGGCAGGAGGGCTTGGTGTGGCGGGGGGGGGGGCGCTTCCCAGCACCCCCAAATGACAGCTGGGAAATGGGTTTGGGGGTGAGGAAGGGGCTTGTTTTGCAGTGGACTGGCTGCACGCCTCTCCCGGGGGGACAGATCCAGCTCGTGGGGCTTTGCAGCCAACCTGGCTGGAGCTCCCCCTGCTCCTCCAGCCCCTCGCAGCCCCTGGCTTGCAGCGCATCTCTCCTGCTCGGGCAGGGGTTTGTGTCCATCCCACCCCCCCCACCCCCCCCCCCCCCCGCTTCCACCTCCCCATGGCTGTGGCAGCAGGCGTGAGTGGGGCTGGGGGAGCAGCCGAACGTGCCTGGCTATAAATAGTGCTGGGAAGGCTGGGGCAGCGCAGCTGGGGCCGGCAGCGGCCAGCTCTCCCACGCCGCAGGCAGCTGCGAGCAGCTCCGGGTGCCCGCGGGGATGGGACCCGGCTGTGCCGCTTCCTCTGAGCGACACCCTGGACCCCCAGCCCCTGACCCCAGAGACCTTCCCCCTCTGCCCACATGTCCCCTTCCCATAGGGCTGCCAGGAGCGGTCGATGCCTCCCCCTTGCCAGGTCCCATCGTGCCCCCCCTCCGTGCTCCTAAATGTTGTAGAAAATGCAACTTCCAGTTCCAGGTGCTGCACGCCCGCTGCTCTGCCTGCATTTCCCTTTCAGTCCTGCGTCTTGAGCACCAAAACCCCCATAAAGATTAGCAAACTTATAAGAGGGGCACATGGTCTGCATTAGCCCGCTGAAATGTGCATGTTATTAACACAACTCCTGTTGACAAAGCCACAGGTATTAACACCATAAAGCATTTTGACAGCTGGACCAAGGAGGGGGGGCACGGACAGAGGGTGCGAGCAACACCTCTGTAAGCTTTTAATTGCTTTTTGAGTCGTGTCAGTGGGTTTTTGTGTCTTAGCAGGCACCACCGGTTGAGGAGATGGCCTCGGAGGAAGCTAGTTGAAACGGGAGTTTGGCGCTGCACCATTAGCTCCAGAGCCCTGGCACAGAAAATTGCTTCACACCGGAGCAGGGGAGGGAGGGGATGCTACAGCTGGAGATGGGCCCAGCGGCAAGCCTGGATCCGAACCACCCGTGAACTTGACAGATGGGCTTTGCCTTTCTTGGCGAAGCACCCTGTCTAGGAAAGGCCAAACCCCTGGCTCTGAGCAATCCCTAAACTTTGGGCAGGACAGAAAGCCACGTCTGAGGTCTGCGGGTCCGGCCAACCCTCAGCAAGGCAGGAGCGGGAGGGCTCTGCCTCTCCCCCCGCGGAGCTCCCGGCTGAGCAGCACAGGTAAAGAGCAACAAACCCGGGGTGCCCGGGCTTTGGGGTGACCCTGGGGCTGCGGCCACAGCTGTGGGGGCACATCTGAACCTGCCTGGGTGAGGGCTCAGCAGAACAGCCAGGCTCCCCCCCGTACACAACCCCCAGCCCCCCCCGGCTCAGCAGGTGTAATCTTGGGGGGGGCAGATCCAGCCCCAAGGCAGCGGGTGCCCCGGCTGGCAATGGCTGGGCTCAGCCCTGACCCGGGGAGGTGGCTGCAGCGATTCAGGGGACACCAAAGCCCAGCCCTGCTGTGGGTGGGTGATTCCCTGGGGTGAAATAATTTGAATTCATATGGCTGGGACAGCTCTTGCCTTTCCTGCCACCCGCCTGCCACCGCAAGCATCCCCGGGGAGCTTGGCCAGCCCGGTCCCGTGCCTGCTCCCATGGGTGTATGGGGGAAGGAGACCCTCTGGCACAGAGCTGCAAACACCACTCTCCTCCTCAGTCTCTGCACGAAACCGCTAAAGCACCGGCTTTAATATCCCGCCCGAAAGGTGTCCTGCTGCCTCACGCAACCTCTGGGACCCCCGTCAAATCCTCCCCCAGCAAAAGCCCTGGTTCTGCCCCAGGCAGGTGGGTTCATCCCCGTGTGCCCACCCGGCTGTCCTGGTGTTTCCCCCTCCCCTGGCCCCCCCATGCCCTGAAGTTTTGTCTCTGGCACACACTGAGGCTGTGCCTGGCCCGGGGGCTCAGGGTGGTGGGGAGAGGGTCTCATCCTTCACTCTGGGCAGCGAGTTTGGAGCTGGGAATGTGTAAAGGAGATTCCGGGGATGTGGGATGGCAGGAGATGAAGGCACTGGGGTGTGGGTGACTTCTTCCCCCCTGCCCCCCTCCCCTCTGCTGACTGAGGGCTCTGTCATCCTTTTTTCCTGGGAAAAAGGGATGACAGAGCTCGGTGCAGCGGGATCAGGGGCTGCACAAGCCATCCCTGGGGAGGGTCCCCCCTCCCCACCCACCTCCCTGGGCCCCCTCCCTCCGCAGCCAGAAGTGCTCTGCCTGGCACCCCCCCCCCCGGACGCCCCGCCCGGCTCCCCCCTCATCCAGCCCTGCTGCCCGGTGCCTCGGGGACCCCCAGGACCTCCCACCCCATCCCCTCAGAGCTCTCCATCCCGGTACACGTGGGACGCTCCCCGGGGGTCTGCCAGCCCGGGACCGCCCCCCCCCGGGACCCTCCAAACACCCCTGCGTGATGCCTCCGGGACCCTCCATCCCACCCCCGCCTGGTGCCTCCGGGGACCCTCCGTGCTCCCCCCCCGCTGACCCCCCGCACTCACCGCCGGGAGCAGCAGCAGCAGCAGCGGCAGGAGCCCGGCCATGGTGCGCGGGGGCGGCGGGGCCGGTCACCCCCCCCCGAGAGCCGGTGCGCGGCCGGGCTGCCCTCCCTCTGCCGCCCGCCGCCTCGGCGGCAGCCAGAAAAGGGCTGCAAGTCCCTCCTCCTCCTCCTCCTCCTCCTCTCCGCCCCCGGAGCATCACGGCGAGCGGCCGAGCCAGCACCCTCCTCCGCCGGCACACAAAGCCCGGGCCCCCCCCCCCCCGCCCTCCCACAAAGCGCTTTTGGGGTGCGCTGGGCGTCTGTCCAGCCAGCTCTCTCCAGCCCCTCAATTATTCACGCCCATCCCTCAATCTCCATGCACCCTCCTCTGCTGTCTGTCCATCCCCTCAAATGCCCGTCCGTCTGTCTGTCCCCACACACCTCGCTCCGTGGTCCCTGGGGTGGGTTTGTTAAAGAGATTGTGGCTCCGGGCAGGGCAGTGGCCACGGCTGGGATGGGGTGACCAGACCTCCTCTGGCCACGAGAGACGAGGGACAACATCCCACGGGTGCCTGGGCTGGTGACACCCCCAGGCCCCAGGGTCTGACACTGCTGTCCGAGTGACATGGAGAAGCCCCCAGTGGGGAGCACATGGGTGATGCTCTGGTGTCTGAAGCTGCTTACTCCTCTTTGTAAACCAACTCTTGGCAGTTTAAAAAAAAAAAAACAAACACCAGATTGATGTCTTTTGGTTCCTGAAAAGCTCTCTGCGTGCTGCTCTCCTCAGCCCGGGCACCTCCAGCCTGTCGCTGGGTGACTGCCTGGTGTCCTGCCCAGCCCAGACCCCACGGTGATGGAAGTTGGAAATGTCACAGCTTGTCCCTTATCCTGGCAAGCCCCCTGTCTTGGTGTGTCAGCACCAGAATTGTTCTTTGTGGGGCTCACTGGAAAAATGAAGGGGGCTTTCTGGTGGTGGTGGTAGGGGAGGGTAGCTGGAAGTGGCCCAGTCTGGCTGCTGCTGGCCCCTGGGGTGGCTCCTGAGGCCAGGAGGGAGGAGAGACTCCTTCCCTCTCCAATTTTGTCTACTGCACAGTGGATTTGTCCCCATGTCCTGCTGATGCCAGGCATTTCCTCACCCCTCAGGGCTCTGCAGGTGCTTTTGGGATTCCCCATAGCGATGCTCGGGTCCAGCCTTTCCCACCACTGTGGTCATTCGAGCCCCCCAGGTCCCGATGGCCCCGCAGGCTCTTCTCTTGGGTCACATCTTCCCCTCTGGGAAGCAAAGCACCAGGGGCTGAGCACAGCTCAGCTGGATTTCCTCTTGAAAAGCAAATTATCAACCTCCCCAGGCGCACGAGGTCGGCTGTTCCCGGCCGGCTTACGCTGCTCCTCCGGGAAAGGCTTTAAGGAAAGTCCCTCGTTCACATCCCAGCCTTGCCTTTCAATAAGATTAAACCGAAGCCAAAGCTGCCGTTTGTTCTCCGGCACGGAGACACGGGAACACATGTGTGAACCACATGGCGATGGGTTTGCTGGCCAGAAAGTCAGGCCGGGGCCAGGTGGGGATGAGGCAGGATGAGCCCAGGGCCGTGGGGCTGTGGGATGCCCACCCGCAGATCAGCTAGGCAGGGAGGGAAGCGATAAGCCAAACATCCCGCTCTCTTTTTAACGCACTGATGAATGGAAACCCCGGGCAAAGCTGCCTGCAGCCATATGGCGGGGCTGGGCACAGCGGGGGGGGAGCAGCCCGGGTCTCCCGCAATTAATTTGCCGTTGCCGCTCCGCCACAGCAAGTGGCAAACCCAGCTGCTTTCCTTGGCCCCTTTGAGAAATCCTCCCCTCACCCCGCAGGATTTTGGGGCTGTGGCCTCTCACCGCAGGATGAACTTGCTGGGGACACGGGGCTTGGGGCAAGCGGCCCCCGAGCTGCCCTCCCCACCACCACCCCGAGCACGGGTGCTGCACAGCAGCCTGATGCCACCGTGGGGGTCACCCCGGGAAAAACCTGGTGCTGGTGATATAAAACTGAGTCCGGCAGACAGAGACGGCAGCTCAGCTGGGCTGCATCTGCATGAGGCTGGGCTGGCAGCCAGCGAAGGTAAGTGGAAACTTCTGCTCCCATCCCAACCCTCTGCGGCTCCTTTGGTGGAGGACTCGCTAGCAATTTCATTAAATCCCCCGCAGGCTTTTTTTTCCTGTCCCAAAACCCTTTTGGCCCTTTCTTGACTCCATAAGATGACAAAGAGCCTCTTAAAATTCTGCTGTCACCTCTTGGAATTAAAACCAAAAGCTCCAGGGGTTTATTTGCTGGGGGAGCATCCTTTAGGCTGCCGGTGGAAGAAGGCACTCCCTGCCGTATTGCAGCCTCTAAAGTCAACCAGAAGCTACATCCACCTGCAGTTGGTTCCGTGTGCCAGGGTGTGGCTGCTTACATCCCCAGGGTGGCTCGTGGCCATTGAGGGGGGCCCTTAATTGGGTCTCAGTGATGCTGCCAGTCCCGCTCTGACACGGCAGGACGATGCCGCGGGGGCTGGCTGCTGGCCGAGCTGGGTTTGCCTTGGTGAGGGCAGGTTGGTGAGTGGTTTGTCTACGAGCTGCCAGTTTGTGATACGAAAAAAGAGCTTCGGGTTTTCTGGTTGGCTCCTGACCTTCCTTCAGGCTGGAGCGGGGTCACACACAGTTGGGGTTTACCCTGCCGGATGGGCAGCATGGGGGTCCTGGCTGCTTTGCTGCCAGCACCCAAGTGGCATCGCTGCCTGCAAGGCAGACAGCCGTGCATTGACGTGCCTCTTTGCCCCTGAAAAGGTTTAATTAGCAAAAGCCCAATTACAGCTTGGTGAAATATTGCATTAAGTCCTTCTCAAGGACAGAGCACGCAGCATCCTTGGAGCGACCATCTCTCCCCTTCATTATCTTTCTTCAGGCTCATCCAGGTCTTCCCCCAACCACTTTCACCAGCCAGAGGTGTCCGAGCAAACCCGGGCAATGGTTTCCCCCGCTCCCACCACCCTCAAGGGCTCATCAGAGTCCCCAGAAACAGCACAAGTTAAACACTCGGTGCGAGCTCCTGCCTTCAAACTTTTTATCGATTATACTAAAAAGCATAGGTAATTACTTTCCCAACAAAGACAGTAACACAGTAATGGTAAGTTATAAATAACGATGAATAAATAATACACGTTGGGAAAATATCATCCTGGCTGTTCACAGCCAGGGCTGAGAGCATAAATAAAGGGCTGCAAGGAAAAGCGAAAGGGCCCCTGTGACCGTGGGCTGGGACTGTTTTCAGAGCAGAGGATGGGTCCTGGTGCATGGCAGAGCCCGGCGGCTGCGGGTGAAGGCAAGGGGGACCCTGCACTGCCCACGTTGTGCTGGGAAATGTCCCTTTTGAGGGGGAAAGGGAGGAAATTTGGGGTGGAAATCAGGCTCTGGGTTTATTGCTGCTGACTTCAGCAAGGGGCTTCGCTCTGCTGGGAGCCATCAGAGCTCTCCTCAATGGACAGTCTCTGCAGGGTGGAAAGGAACTCTTGGTAATAAGTCACTTTTTAGAAAATTCACTATTTTTTCCAGTGGAAAAGGGAAAAGGAGGAGAAAAAGATGGTTTCATTTCAAGTATCTAGGCCAGCTTTGCTGAGAAATTTGCACCTTGGGCCACTTGGCAAGAGCCAAGGCCCCGTCTAGAGAGGAGGAAGCCGAGGGCTCCTGCAGTCCTTGGGCCTCTGGTTCTCCTTGCGATCGATGGGATTTAGGCACTTAAAAGCTTTTAAGGATGGAGGCCAAGGTCGGCTCTCGTGCAGCAGGCGCACGGGCGTGCTCTTCGCTCCCATCCTCTGCTCGGCGCCTCTGCCAGCTCCAAAACCACCCATTTGTTCTCCGTGATGGAGGGATGGGAGGATCTGCTCTGTCTTGAACCGCAATTTAAAAACTGCCGAGCATCTTCCCTGGCTGAAGCGTAGTAAATGCGCAGCAGCTCCGGGCTCGTACGCCCAGGGCAGAGTTTTACCATTCAGGGGAAAACTGCTTTCTTGATTTAGACAGCCGGGGAGGGACTGGTGTTAATACCTCCTCCTTTTCCCTTCCTCGAGCCTTCTGACTGCTCATCCTGTCTGTGCTGTGCTTCGGATGGACACAACCTGCGAAAAATGGGGGGGGGGGGGGGGCTCTGAAAAGTCAGCATCCGTGCACAGCAGGGAGTTATTCCCATGGGGATGGGGGCTCGGCCAGACCACAGCACCCAAACCAGGCGGTTCAGATGTTGCTCTCCTGGCTCGGGGTGGGAGGTGACACCGTCCCAGCACAGCCTGGGCCAGGATGAAACCACGGCCCTGGACTGGGACGGATGCAGCCCACTGGTGTCAGCGACGCCGGTGCAGGTGGATCAGGGAAGGATGAATCGCCAGCGCTGGGGGTGGGCACAGCAGTGGGGTGGGCTGAAGGGCTCGGGGACACGCGGGGCACGTGGCCGGGCGCTACGTGGAGGGGGGCCACAGGGTTCCCCCGGTGCTGTCTGGGGGCTCCTGAGCAGAGATTTCACTTGGGGTTTGGCCCCCGGACACCCCTGAGGTGTGAATGTGGCCTGAAATCGCTGCTGGGAACCTACAAAGCACCCCAAAAGCCCATCTCCATGGTAAGAGGGATCCAGTATTTCCCAAACTCACAAAAAAACTGATTTCCATTGCTATGAAAATGTCCCAATCTGGTTTCAATTGCACTCCTTGATTTCCATGCCTGTAATTTCTCCTAATGCCTCCCTCCACCCCCCCCCTCCCTTTTTCACTTGCTAATCCCCAGCCTGACGGCTCCCAGCCTCCCTCCCTTTCCTTTTTTCTTTCTTTAACTGTCCTTCCAGCGTGATCCATCACCCTGACTGCAGCAGGGGGGGATTCATGGTAGCGGCTGAGATGAATCTCTGGTTCCTTATAAGGACCGACTGAAGGAATCTCCGGCAAGCGGAGACCACAATGTCCAGGAAACTCAATCCCTCCTCGGGATGGAGCCACGGCAAAATCCTGAGAAAGTAAAAATAGACCGTGGTTTCCCTCCCTGAGAAAGGAGGAAGATTTTGTGCAATTTAAAATAACACTGGCAGGGTTAGGCAGGGGGAGAAACCCGCTCCTTATGGCACATATAATAAAGGACATAAATAT